CGTGAAACCCAGGGTCACAAACTCACATCTATCCAACCAAATATATATATATATATATATATATATATATATATAGGATTATTGTGAGTAAAAGTTTGTTACTAAGTTGATTGATGTTACCTTCAGCATCTAGACATGTAACCACTTTATAAATATGGAATTATGATATATAGATATACATTTATATATATCAAGAACAGTTTTGGCGGAAAGATATATGACAAAGTGGAAAAGGTTTTTGTGTGACATGTTTTGTCCCTTAGGACTTCATCAGACTAGGCTTGTTTATGTTAATGTGACTCTATATGCACACGAACAAGACATGGAGAGATGCTGGGAATTTTAAATTTAGAAAAATTTTTTTTTATGTGTTTTGGGTATATAATCTATCCAATTTCATTTATATTTTTTTTGTTTCCACCATCTTTGTTATTAAATATCACACATTGTGATAACAAAAGGTCTGTCAAGAAGTTGTGGAATGTAAGGACCTGGACACAAATTTAATAACAAAGATGATGGAAACAAAAAGAAAAAGAAACAGAATTTAAATGAAATTAGATAGATTTTTTCTAAATTTAAAAATCCCAGCGTCTATCGTTTGTCTGCATATGTAGTCACTTTAACATGAACAAACCCACTCCAATGAAGCCCTAAGGGATGAAACATGTCACACAAAAACTTTGTGTTTCCTCTTTTAATTTTCTCTTTTAATTAGATTTTTATTTTTTTATATCAACATTGTAGCCAGTCTCTGTTATTGTGAGCATCTAATGCATTGTTTTGTAAAATATCCCATTTATGTTCATATAATCTTTTATTTAAATTCCTTAAGGTTTCTCCAATGTATTCCTTGTGGCAATTATTACAGGTAATAAAGTAAACTAGCAGTGGAGCCCAGTGTTGCCCGGGGATGTAACAGTAAGAGATAGATCAAGTATTGACCATCATAAAGACTGAAAAATAAAATTGACAAAGATTATTGTTTAAGGTTGACGGACATGCATGTCTTAATTAGTTTTTTTTTTTTTTACAAATTGGTCAAACCCAAACTCAAACAAAAACATTGTTTTCAATCGTTATGAGTCTACCGATTGAATAGAATTTTATTATAAACAATTGTCTTGTAAATGGAATTTTTAAAGCATTCTGAATGTAAAGATAAAGAAAAAAAAAAAAAGACAATAAGAAACACTACCTGCCAAAAAAAAAAAGTGAAGTTTTGTTGAAATCGGTTGAAAAATGTAGGAAACCGATCCCATATATAAAGGAACACACACACATACACACACGCACACACACACACACACACACACAAACAACCTGAGTTTTATAATTAGTATAACTCGATATGAGTTGTCCCCCTTTCATTCTCGTGATGCCTCTTAATCGTGATTTCAAATTGATTTTGTGCAAAAACAATTGTATTTTTTCAATTTTTGGCAGTGTCAGCACCATCGCAAGGTAATTTTACGTAGTCCCGTGAAGTTTTGTTGAAATCGGTTGAAAAATGTAGGAAATTCGATCCAATATATAAACGTACAGACACACACACACACAACCTGGGTTTTATAATAAGTATGATTCCTCTTTCAAGTTTTAGCTTATTTTGTTTTGTATTAATTAAGTTGTTTATTGTTTTAAATGTTGTTGTGACAAATTTTATATTGAGTTGAGATAAATTTTTTCTATTGTAGTTGTGATAGAGTTGGTGAGTAGAACAGTGTATTTTTTAGAGAAAAAATTTTAATGCTAAATCACCCACAGTAAATTTACATCCTAGTTCTTACAATATTTAACCATTCTTGTTATCACAATGTGGGATATTTAATAACAAAAGTGATGGAAACATGAACAAAATGAAAAAGAATCTCAATGAAATTGGATAGATTATATACCGAATACAAATAAAAAAAAGAAGTCATCTTTAAATTAAAATTCCCATCGTCTCCTGTTTGTGCGCATGTGTAGTTGCATTAATGTAATCGTAAACTTAATGCAATGATGTCTTAAAGGATGAATGTGTGACCTGGCAACATTATCTGCTTTATCATACATCTTTCCCCAAAAATTGTTCTTGATATTTAAAAAATTATGTACTGTTTTTCCCATATATATACATATATATATATGAAAGGATGTTCCAATAACTTGGACCAATTTTAAACTTAATTCACATTTAAAATCTGTCCAAGTTATTTGAACACCCTTTTATATATATATATATATATATATATATATATATATATATATATATATATATATATATATATATATATCTGAATGTAATGAGAACAAGAATAATATATAAATTCTAATGTTCACAGCATTAATTCAAAAGAGGGCTCAATACTGATAGTAGAGCAATAATTATTTATTATAATTTTTTCACATAGACAAAACAATTACTTGCTACAAAGATGCAACTTTGTTTTGGTGCATTTAGTTAAACCTCGACTGGTGAGAACCAAAAATTTTAAAACGGAATTATTCATAACCATTTTGGTTCTCACCAATCAAGGTGTAAGTAAATGCACTGAAACGAAGTTGCATCACCAAGGTTAATCAAGTGAGTAAATTGTTTTTGTCTATATGAAAAAAATTATAATATATTAATAATAATAATAAATATACATTTTTTTCTCACTGGTAGTTTCCTGAAATCAGCATCTGATGTTTGTGGTGCACTACCAGTAAGGAAAAAAATGTATATTTATTATTAATATAAACTATAGCTCTGTTATTGAGCAGTATTTTATTAACTTATGGCCATGTCTTGTTGAAACAACGGTTCCCACACAATCACCAAGGTTAATCAACAGTGAACCTGGACAGTACTTAGATGGGTAACCACTTGGAAATATCACATGCTGTAAACTTGGATGTGTTGGTGGTGTAATTGAAAATTTGTTAATTGGAGAAGTTAGTTTCAATTCCAGTTGAGTTTGTTATATTCACTTATGTGCCAATACCCTTGGGAAAGGTATGAATCTGCCTCTTCTCCTCCAGCTATGGGTTAATTTGTAGGATTAGTAAGACTAGTATCACTAAATCATTATTATCTAAAGAAAAATTCTTACAAGGTAAAAAAAATATATTTTCTAGCTTCAAAATAACTTGCAACATGTTGATAAGGTGTAGAAAATGAATGAATGAATCTATTTGATTAAACCAGCACTCAATGTGCAATATTATATATATATATATATATATATATATATATATATATATCTCACAGAATAAAGCCACAAAGGTTTAGAATAACAATGAATTTTACAGATACAAGTTTTACTATTTATAGCCATAGCTGGCAGAGGTGAGTTGGATTCATGCTTTTCCAACTTATTGTAGTGAACTTGATTCAAATTTGAACTCACACCATTGGGAAGGGCCTAAAAACTATGCAATGGGTTGATCTTAACCTTGTGAGCAAAATTGGATAGACAGATCTATTTGAAAGCTGTCATTGGTTATGCTTGCACAATCTCATAAGTCATTGTGACCAAGGTTTGAGCCAGCTGGCTTTGTTCAAACTGGTGATCACATCAGAATGTGTTCTTGCCCAGAAAGTGCAACTTGGGTCTGCTCAGCAGAATTGCATTATAACCCACAGGTTGGCTCTGTGGGTATTTGAAGAAACACAAATATGCCTGAGCAGGTGCCTGCAGCAGGGATTAGCTAGCCAGCCTAGCAGAAATGAGCAGTCAGCTAATTCTACTAGCTGTTTATGCAAAATATTAACTTCAGTACCTATAGTTATTGGAGCACTGGTAGTAGTCCTAATGAACTCTTTTGGAAAGATTAAAACAACAGGAAGTGTTAAGAGAAAATCAAATCTATCCCAATGACAGAAATTCTAAAATCAGCTAGAATACTGTGGAAAGTACTGAAATGTCCAGTAGACTTTATGTCATTTGATCTCTAGTGAAAGCCACAAGATATTACTGGGGTGATAAATCAATTAATTAATAGAAAAACTTGTTTTTTTTGAGTGATTGTTTTTTTTATGGCTTATCAACACTTTGTAGGTTATTTAAAGCCAGAAAATATTTTTAGATTGTAAAATTCTTTCTTTTTAATAATGGTTTAGTGATACAAGTCTTACTAATTAACCCATAGGTGGTGGAGAAAAAGAGGTGGAGTCATATCTTTCCCAAGGGTATTTGCGCATAAGTGAATATAATGGACTCAACAGGAATTGGAACTCGGCTTTCCAATTAACAATTTTGAGTCCTTATCCATTACACCACAGGCACATTCAAGCTTACAGCACCTGGTATTCCCAAGTGGTCATCCATCTAGGCTTGATGTTGCTTAACTTCAGTGATTGTATGGGAACTCGTGTTTCAATGTGATGTAGCCGTAAGCCATAAAATAAATATGGTAATATATTCTGTCAGTTATGTGCCATGCGTGATACATACTTAGGCAATCATGTATCTTTCGATACATGACTGACGAGGCACATTTTTTTCCCGCAGTAGGTTGCCATTTCTTTCTGCAGTAGACCAGCTGCCATCCAAGACCAAGAACCCGGTCTGTTCTGCTATTTACCCATAGCTGTGTGGAGAAGAAAAGGAGTCACACCTTTCCCATGGGTATTAGCACGTAAGTGAATGTAATGGATTCAACCGGAATTTGAACTCGGCTCTCCAATTCTTCAATCCGAGCCTCTATCCATTACTCCACCATGCCTCTTCTTTGTCTCCCTCCAGCTATTGGTAAATAGCAGGACAGACTGGGTTCTATAGTCTTGGATGGCAACTGGTCTACGGCGGAAAGAAATGGCAAGCTACTGCGGGAAAAAATCTGCCTCGTCAGTCATTTATCAAAAGATACATGATTGTCTAAGTGTGTATCATGCATGGCACATAACTGACTGAATATATTCTGGGTTCAATTATTCAGTTTAACTTTATTCTATCAATTGAATTTTAATTCTTTCTTGAAACAATTTTCCAGTCTTGCAAAGTCTTTCAGCTTTTTTTTTTCTTTTTCAGATGACTTTAAAGGCCATGGTAACAGTTTCTATGGGGACAACAGTCGAGGCACCAAAAATGCTCAGAAAAGGCTTTGTCTGCGTTTATTGTTCAGTGTCGTGGCCACAAAAAATGAGCTCATCATTAAAGACTTGGTTGACCAAGGAGCCATGAATCTGATCATCTGTGAGAATCTTTTTCTTTGTAGTAATGGTGGAGTGGGGGGACTTATTTTTTATTGCCTCCTTTTAATTTATTTTCGCAATCGATAAAGGGAGTCAAATGTTTTTCATTAGTTTATTATATCATCCGTCAGTCTCTCGAGACATAGATCTTCGCCTGAAAAGTCATGCCCTCTCCAGGGCAGTTTTTTTTTATGAGAAATCAGCAGTTGCTCATGTGGTACATCTTCCCTCTCCACATCACAGATGTTGTCCAATCGAAAGGCAGCTTAGTACTGGTATCATTGCAGGAGTCGCCAGAATGAAATTGAACATGTCATCGGACTGTCTTAGAGACTCTGGCTTCGGATTTAAAATTCAGAGTTGTCCTTCTCCTAGTTTACCATGGCTACAGAGCCCAGACTAACCTACTATTTAACAGTCGGAGGTTTTTAATTCAGACTTTTTCTTTCTCCTAGACCGGCTGCCACCCAAGGCTAAGTAAGATCTTATATGTTTATAATATTAAGTATGTAAAATTCTACCAGTTCAGACCTTGACAGCTAGGACAGACCATGCTACTTCTACAGTGTCAAACCACCCATGTTTCCTCCATATTCCAAATGGATGGAAAAAGTCTGATGCAATCAGCTTTTTCCCTAAATCTAATATCTTGTGAAATGGACTCCAGTGTGGGTGCTTCTTTGAACACTACAAGCCTAACTTTTAAAATCAATGGTCAATGGGCAATCTTGTAACAGAATGACATTTTCCACTCTGCAACCTGTTTCCCGCAGATGCTCTTTCCATGGCAAATGTTCAAATGAGTTCCATTTTTAGTTCCAATAATTTGAACCTTTACAGCTAAGACATGCTATGCCACTCCCACGGAGTCGAATCTCCCTCATCTCCACCATATTCCAAATGTAAGGAGGAAGTTTCATGCATATAGATTTTTGTCAAAAACTGCTACTTTGTGGACTGAACTCCTGCATGGGTGCTTCCCTGAATTCATATCATGAACCTCTATCATAATTAACAGCGACTTTGAGTGGCTCTCGAACCTCATACCGAGTGAACTTTAGTATAACGTTTCCAGCATAGTGGCATTGGCAGAATGTGTGGTGCCCAGGCCAGAGTGTGTGTTGACTGGACCAGAGTGTGTGCCACCCAGAACAGTACTTGAGTTTGCTAGCCGTACCATGTGGTCCTCCACAAAATAATTAAGCATATTGCACAGTGACACCCTCATATATATATATATATATATATATCATTTCAGCATACTCTTTTTAAAAAAGAATTTCTGAAGTTTATATGAGGAAATATCACTGTTTATTTGTTCAGGAAATTGTAAAATGTGCTTTTACAGTTAGGAGTAGGTGGCCATCAAAAATATCATCAATCAAAAGGGTGCCATGAATAGAAAAAGGTTGAGAACCACTGGTCCTGAAGAAGGAATTTTCGGGGGGTCTTGTGGCACACTATTGCACCAGTTCACTATATTCAGTTCTTCTGAAAAGTATGGATGCTTCTGTACAAGCCTTCACCATTATAATCAAATCATATTTGAAGCTAATCTACAATAATAATAATTGGATCCTTATACAACAAAGATGACAAGAGAGCCCATCATATATATATTAAACAGTGTGTATTATGTCTATTGGAAAGAGAAAATAAAACCTTGCTGACTGTGATGTTCTTCACGGCTGAACAGTAAAGCACCCTGGATCAAAAGTTAGTTTCCCCTACAAAGGAGGACACAGATTTGATTGCTGCCAGGGAATGCATTTTTTTTACTAAAATTTCTTAAATGAGGAGGCCAGTATATGAAATAAATGCTGTTTAATAAATGAAAAAGGGGGCATCTATTTCAAATAAGAAGTATCCACTATAATAATATTTAAAATAATCTATATAAATAAATGTGAATGTTAGTGTGTCACACTTTTTCAACTTTGCTCTGAGAGACTGTAGCCCAACATATACTGTTTTGGAATCAGGCTGACTACGTAAGCAAATTAAAAACATTCCAGGTTGGATCTGAAACCGCAATCCTGAAATTTTGGATTCCCAAATTTTCATTACTGCAATTGTTTTTGGCGATTTTTTTGACGTGATTTTTTGTAACAAATTTTTTGTATGATAAAAATTTTTATAACTTGGAAATAAACTTGGGAATAATTGAAACTAATTATGTAATCCAGTGGATGTCACCCATGAAATAAAAATAATTGTCTGTACAGAAAGTAAGGACCTACGTACATCAAATTGTCTTTAAATTAGGTGCCAGCAGAAGAATTATCATTGAATTTTTAAGAGGTAAGTTTAAATATTAATGCAATACTTAAATGCAGTGATCAATTTTGAGTTATTCTGTAGTTTATTATTGTCTGTCGCATCTATTCCTCCCTACGTATTGTGATGAAGGTCCAATCGAAAACAGGTTCTAGCTTAAATGCTGCCTGATAGGGTGGCTCTTAAGCTAGTCATATATATTTAAGTAATCATATATATATATATATATATATATATATATATATACACACAGGTACGATGGATAAGTTGTCTTCTAAATTATGCAAAAATGAAAATGACACTGATATCTCATTTTAACAGACATATTTACCAAAATTACACAAAAATATCTTGAAATACTAAAGAGTAAATTTATTCAATAAAATCGCCATTGGCTTCAAAGATGGCCTACAGAAAACTTCAGAATCTCCTGCAACTCTTTTGGGCAGTAACCCTGTTTAAGTTGGTGAATGCTGCCATAATCCTTGCCTTTAATTCATCTTTGGTGTTACAAGAAGTTTTGTTGGTCTCTTGCTAATCTGTGCTCCACACATAATAATCAAGTCTGCAGTTGCTGTGTGTGGAATTAAGTGGCCAGATGTAAGAGGTGATGTGACAACAGAAATTGTTTGGCAGCCATGATTAGGTTCTCCTGCTTGTGTGGCATGGTGCAGAGTTCAGTTGCCAGACATATCGTCTTCCAGCAACCACCCTCTTGACCCAGGCCAGCACTACCTCCTCAATGCACTTGATGTAGGTCTCCATGTTGAGTCTGAGGTGCTGTGGGAAGATGAATGGAGGAAAAATGTCGCCATCACTAGTGATGACTCCAAACACGTTTGTAATCACCATTAGACTCATCCAACTCTTCCCGAATCCTCTGCACTATCCTTAGATTGACACCCAAACATTCTGAAATGTTTGTATTGCTTTCAGTGTGAATGCCAAGCAGTATAGCATGTTGTTTCCAAATTTCTGGCAGAGTGAATTGCATCACGGTGTTCTTTTTCTCCCAGACAGTGCCCAACTGACCCTACTATACTGTGCAGTTGACAAAATCAAAAACAAGCAACGCACATGCATGAAATTAAAAATATAAAATGGCGACAATTTACCCATCGCACCCTCACACACACACACACACACACAAATTAGAAGATCAGCCGATTTCACTACCTTGGTTTTAACCTTTGGGTATCTTCAGGTGATTTCAGTTGATTTCCTAAAGTTTTTTAAAAAAAAAAAAAAATTTTCTGAATGCTATGATTTTTTAAAAAAATAAATAAATAAATAAATGAATAAGCCCGCAACATGAGGTGTGATAGAAGGTGAGGAGGAGAGGGAAAAGCAAGAGTATTGGAAATGTTTTGGTAGGGGATTAATTGAAATATAGATACTTCCTTTTCATCCCACTTCATATAAATTCAAAAGGAACTCTTTAGTATTCATACAACAGGACATAATTTCTGATTTCTCATTCAAAAGGGTTATAATAACATTTCCAGACCAAAAAACCCTAATTTTTCTTGTTGACAAAGGTTGCAAATATTACTGTGATTGTTGTAAGGTTTTGCTTTTTTAAAATTTTCCAGTTTACAATTGGATCTTTTTTATTTTTTCCTTTAATTTCCACACATGGTTAAGTAGAATTCCTAATACCTTCTAGCTTAAAAGATGACTTGTGATTGTACCACCTCTTCTTAAAGTTACTTTCAGTACATCCTATATATATTTTTCTGGCCATTTGTGTATATTGCTTCTACTTTGTAAATTATTGTTTCAGTTTTGCAAACTCCATCTAATGGACATCTACTTTTATTGCATATTTCACTGTTAACAATATTTTTCTGCATGTTATTTTTTTAAATTTCTGGCATTTTGTCTTTTTATTGTGGTTTCTAAATTACTTGTACAACTGTAGCTTAATTTAACTGTGTTTTTATTAAACATTTCATGTAATTCGAAATTTTTCTTGAAGTGTTTATTAAGTAATTTAAAAAATATGTTCCCTATTTTACACTTGACCTCTAAATTAACGGTGGGCTTAAACCAAATAAAATCTTTTCTTTTCCTCGAATTGTTCTTCATTTGTTGGTTTACTTGAGGTTTAAATTCCAGTTTGGTTTTATGCTTCTCTTTTAAAGCCCTTTCATATTCTTTCTTTTTATCTTCAAACATTATTTTACTAGATGAATTTCTAGATCACCTGAACTCTTTGGGGATTGTCTTTATTATACTCACAGGGTGCTTAGATCTAACATTCCCATATTTTATTTTTGTGTTGGGTTTCATGAATGGGGAGACATTGCCAATTTGTAGATTAATTCTACATTCAAATATTTGACAATTTTCTTATTCATATCGACTTCTATTTCAAAGTCGAGGCTTTTGAAGAGTTTGAAAAGCACTTTTCTTATATTGTCATTTGTTCTTCTGTTGCCTGGCACTATCATCAGTCCATCAGGCAGTGATTGTTTATATGTACAATTTACATATGTATATATACATACAAGTATAGGATTAGTGTACACTGAATAAATTCCAATAACCAACAAATACTATTCTTAAAAGAGTGCTCAATACAGAGTAGAGCAAATATAATTATTTATTTGAAAATTATAACATAAATATGTTATAAGATCACTACAAAAATAGTCATTTTGTTTCAACACTTCTGGTGTCTTATCAAGTGATGGTGTTGAATGTAGAATAAAGGTTTTTTTTATTATACATTCAATACCATCACTTGATAAGACTCCAGAAGTGTTGAAACAAAATGGCTAGTTTTGTAGTGATTTTATAACATATTTATGTTATAATTTTCAAATAAATAATCATATATGTATATATATATATATATAATATATATATATATATATATTTCATTAAATAATATAGACAAGTGTTGTCTATTTATTTTATGTAAATTTTTTTTGTAACATCTGATAAGTTTAATAACATTATCGTTGAACGAAGAATGTTTACATAGATAATTTCTAAGCAATGATAAACATGCGCATATAAGACAGTGACAGACTATCATCACTGTCTTATATGTCCGTATATTGCTTAATATGTTGTAATTGACATCTTTGATAATGGCTTAAGTAAACCGAAAGCTTAGATTGTATTAAAAAAATATGGATCAATATTGTGAATTTCTTTCTTTGTTTAACGATAATGTTATTAAACTTATCAGATGTTATGAAAAAAAAATTTACATAAAATAGACAACACTTGTCTATATTATTTAATGAAACGTGTATGAATGAAAAGATGCTGCCTAAATACACACAATATATATATATATATATATATATATATATATATAATTAATGAAAAAACAGACCACATTAAGGTACCATTACAATAATTTATTTCACCAAAATCCTTTTTGAAGGACTTTAGATCATCAGGTAACACTTCCAACAACAAAATGAAAGGAAAAATGGGATTAGAAATTGATGGGTAGTGTAATTTTTGTAATTTAACAGGGAGGGTGATAGTTGTAGTTAACGAGACAAGGTAGATTATAGAGAGGGGTAAATTTCATATTTCTCTTAAGCACTACCCTCCCATTCCTATATATCATTTCCGTTAAGTTAACCATCTAAATAGGTCACGATTAGGTCACTCCTCCTACCCCAATATAAAACATGCTTAAGTGGAGTCCTTCAAAAAGGATTTTGGTGAAATAAATTATTGTAATGGTACCTTAAAGTGGTCTGTTTTTTCATTAAATATTAGCTCTGGATTCACACTGAGTTCTCAGGATTTCATCCTCCTTGGAATTACCCATTCGGTTTACCAAGTTCTTCGTAACTTAACTATATATATATATATATATATATATATATATATATATTGTATTTTATGATGTATTTCAAAGTCTGTAATTGTAAGCATATGGAGAAAATTTTACAGGTTGGGGTAGAAGTAATTTGCCTTGAGAGTTAGCCTGAAAATGTACAATTCAGTTGCCTTATAGTAGTAGAAGACATATGCTGCCCAACACCATCACACGTGCATCGTCATTGGTCTATGGTTGTAATTACCTTGCTCAATTAAGATGAAATTAAGAATATAGAGAATTTAAAACAGAATATTTTTATTTAAAAAATATCATTAACAATTAATGTACTTTTTTTTGTTTTTAGCAATTCTGAGTTCATCTTTGTTTTGTACTGCGAAGAATTGCATCATTGAAAATGAAATGAAATCAACAATGCTCCTCATTCTCTCCCATTTATGTGAAGGAAACGCCCACCACAAGGTAAGTCCATACACCAAACTTTGGCCTAAAAACCATTCCTAGAAAAAAAGAAAAATATAATGTGGTGTAAGTATGGGGTTTACGTAGGGGGTTTAGATAACGTCCTTAATCCAATTATGCACCAATTTATGGCCCTGTAAAAATGCATGCAAAGATAATTGGCACAAAGATATATATTTTGCATGCACTGATAAAATTTTATATCTCTTAAAATAAAATATACAGTATTTAAAGAATTCATGAGTTCATATCAGAAAGTTCCCATGTTGAATGTCTAAGTCCCTTGTCATATAATAGAGAGACAGAGAGAAAAGAGTCCTTGTAAATGTGTACATATCTCGTTGATAGTAGTAATCTTTTTGACTTTCTGTGGGTTTTTAGTTGTCTGAAAATGTAGGGCATGCGAGAATGGACAAAATTATTTCATTGAGTCTCTGGTTCCTTTTCCTGGTCGTCTCTGGTTCCTTTGCCTGGTCGTCTCTGGTTCTTTTTCCTGGTCATCTCTGGTTCCTTTGTCTGGTCATCTCTGGTTCCCTTTGCGTCTGGTCGTCTCTTTGGCTACTTTGCCTGGTCATCTCTGGTTCCTTTGTTGTTCCTTTTCGTTCTGGTCGTCTCTGGCTTTGCCTGGTCGTCTCTGGCTCCTTTGCCTGGTCGTCTCTGGTTCCTTTGCCTGGTCGTCTCTGGCTCCTTTGCCTGGTCATCTCTGGCTCCTTTGCCTGGTCGTCTCTGGTTCCTTTGCCTGGTCGTCTCTGGTTCCTTTGTCTGGTCGTCTCTGGTTCCTTTGTCTGGTCGTCTCTGGTTCCTTTGCCTGGTCGTCTCTGGTTCCTTTGCCTGGTTTTTCCTGGTCGTCTCTGGGCTCCTTTGCATGTGGTCGTCTCTGGCTCCTTTGCTCTGGTCGTCTCTGGCTCCTTTGCCTGGTCGTCTCTGGTTCCTTTGTCTGGTCGTCTCTGGTTCCTTTGCCTGGTCGTCTCTGGCTCCTTTGCCTGGTCGTCTCTGGTTCTTTTTCCTGGTTGTCTCTGGTTCCTTTGCCTGGTCGTCTCTGGTTCTTTTGCCTGGTCGTCTTTGCCTGGTCGTCTCTGGCTCCTTTTGCCTGGTCGTCTCTGGTTCTGGTTCCTTTGCCTGGTCGTCTCTGGCTCCTTTTGCCTGGTCGTCTCTGGGTTCTGGTTTCCTTTTGCCTGGTCGTCTCTGGTTCCTTTGCCTGGTCGTCTCTGGGTGCCTGTCTCTGGCTTGCCCTTTGCCTGTCTGGTCGTCTCTGGTTCCTTTGCCTTCGTCTCTGGGTCGTCTCTGGTTCCTTTTCGTCCTGGTTGTCTCTGGTTCCTTTGCCTGGTCGTCTCTGGTTCCTTCGTGCCTGGTCGTCTGGTCGTCTCTGGTTCCTTTGCCTGGTCGTCTCTGGTTCCTTTGCCTGGTCGTCTCTGGCTCTTTTTTGCCTGGTCGTCTGCCTGGTTCCTTTGCCTGGTCGTCTCTGGTTCCCTGGTTCTCTGGTTCCTTTTCCTGGTCGTCTCTGGCTGGTTCCTTTTCTTTGCCTGGTCGTCTCTGGTTCCTTTGCCTGGTCGTCTCTGGTTCCTTTTCCTCTGGTTCCTTTTTGTCTGGTCGTCTGTTCTGGTTCCTTTGCCTGGTCGTCTCCTTTGCCTGGTCGTCTCTGGTTCCTTTTTGCCTGGTCGTCTCTGGTTCCTTTGCCTGGTCGTCTCTGGCTCCTTTGCCTGGTCGTCTCTGGCTCCTTTGCCTGGTCGTCTTTGCCTGGTCGTCTCTGGTTCCTTTGCCTGGTCGTCTGTCCTTTGCCTGGTCCTCTGGCCCCTTTGCCTGGTCGTCTCTGGGTTCCTGGTTTGCCTGGTCGTCTCTGGTTCCTTTGCCTGGTCGTCTCTGGTTCCTTTGCCTGGTCGTCTCTGGCTTTTTGCCTGGTCGTCTCTGGTTCCTTTGCCTGGTCGTCTCTGGTTCCTTTGCCTTTGCCTGGTCGTCTCTGGCTCCTTTGCCTGGTCGTCTCTGGTGGTCCTTGGCTCCTTTGCCTGGTCGTCTCTGGTTCCTTTTTGCCTGGTCGTTCCTTTGTCTGGTCGTCTCTGGTTCCTTTGCCTGGTCGTCTCTGGCTCCTTTGTCTCTGGTCGTCTCTGGCTCCTTTGCCTGGTCGTCTCTGGTTCCTTTCCGTCTCTTCCTTTGCCTGGTCGTCTCTGGTTCCTTTGCCTGGTCGTCTCGTCTTTGCCTGGTCGTCTCTGGTTCCTTTGTCTGGTCGTCTCTGGTTCCTTTGTCTGGTCTGGTCTCTGGTTCCCTTTGTCTGGTCGTCTCTGGTTCCTTTGCCTGGTCGTCTCTGGTTCCTTTTGTCGTCTCTGGTCGTCTCTGGTTCCTTTGCCTGGTCGTCTCTGGTTCCTTTGCCTGGTCGTCTCTGGCTCCTTTTTGCCTCTGGTCGTCTCTGGTTCCTTTGTCTGGTCGATTCTGGTTCCTTTGTCTGGTCGTCTCTGGTTCCTTTGTCTTTGTCGTCTCTGGTTCCTTTTCCTGGTCGTCTCTGGTTCCTTTGCCTGGTCGTCTCTGGTCTCCTTTGCCTGGTCGTCTCTGGCTCCTTTTGCCTGGTCGTCTCTGGCTCCCTTTGCCTGGTCGTCTCTGGCTCCTTTGCCTGGTCGTCTTGGCTGCCTGGTCGTTCTGGTCGTCGTCTCTGGTTCCCTTTGCCTGGTCGTCTCTGGCTCCTTTGCCTCCTTTGCCTGGTCGGTCGTTCCTTTGCCTGGTCGTCTCTGGTTCCTTTGCCTGGTCGTCTCTGGTTCCTTTGCCTGGTCGTCTCTGGTTCCTTTGTCTGGTGTCTCTGGTTCCTTTGTGGCTGGTCGTCTCTGGTTCCTTTGCCTGGTCGTCTCTGGTTCCTTTGCCTGGTCGTCTCTGGTTCCCTGGTTGTCTGGTTCCTCTGGTCGTCCTGGTTGCCTGGTCGTCTCTGGTTCCTTTGCCTGGTCGTCTCTGGCTCCTTTGCCTGGTCGTCTCTCTGGTTCCTGGCTCCTTTTGCCTGGTCGTCTCTGGTTCCTTTCCTGGTCGTCTTGGTTCCTTTGTTTCTGGTTCCTTTGTCTTGTCGTCTCTGGGTCTTTCGTCTCTTTGCCTGGTCGTCTCTGGCTCCTTTGCCTGGTCGTCTCTGGTTCCTTTGCCTGGTCGTCTGGTCTCTGGCTCCTTTGCCTGGTCGTCGTCTTTCTGGTTCCTGGTCCCTTTGTCTGGTCGTCTTTTTCTGGTTCCTTTGTCTCTGGTCGTCTCTGGCTCCTTTGCCTGGTCGTCTCTGGTTCCTTTGCCTGGTCGTCTCTGGCTCCTTTGCCTGGTCGTCTCTGGCTCCTTTGCCTGGTCGTCTCTGGTTCCTTTGACTGGTCGTCCTTTGCCTGGTCGTCTCTGGCTCCTTTGCCTGGTCGTCTCTGGTTCCTTTGCCTGGTCGTCTCTGGGTTCTGGTCTTTTTCCTGGTCGTCTCTGGCTCCTTTGCCTGGTCGTCTCTGGTTCCTTTTCCTGGTCGTCTCTGGCTCCTTTGCCTGGTCGTCTCTGGTTCCTTTGTGGTCGTCTCTGGTTCCTTGCCTGGGTCTCTGGCTCCTTTGCCTGGTCGTCTCTGGTTCCTTTGCCTGGTCGTCTCTGGTTCCTTTTTGCCTGGTCGTCTTTGGTTCCTTTGCCTGGTCGTCTTTCTGGTCTCCTTTGCCTGGTCGTCTGGTCCTTTTGCCTGGTTCTTTGCCTGGTCGTTTGCTCTTTTGCCTGGTCATCTCTGGTTCCTTTGCCTGGTCGTCTCTGGTTCCTTTGCCTGGTCGTCTCTGGCTCCTTTGCCTGGTCGTCTCTGGCTCCTTTGCCTGGTCGTCTCTGGTTCCTTTGTCTGGTCGTCTCTGGTTCCTTTGCCTGGTCGTCTCTGGTTCCTTTGCCTGGTCGTCTCTGGTTCCTTTGTCCTGGTCGTCTCTGGTTCCTTTGCCTGGTCGTCTCTGGTTCCTTTGCCTGGTCGTCTCTGGTTCCTTTGCCTGGTCGTCTCTGGCTCCTTTGCCTGGTCGTCTCTGGCTCCTTTGCCTGGTCGTCTCTGGTTCCTTTTCCTGGTCGTCTCTGGCTCCTTTGCCTGGTCGTCTCTGGCTCCTTTGCCTGGTCGTCTCTGGCTCCTTTGCCTGGTCGTCTCTGGCTTCTTTGTCTGGTCGTCTCTGGTTCCTTTGTCTGGTCATCTCTGTCTGTTTTTATGCTTTTCCAAAATAAAGGAATTGATTCCAGAATTGTTTCTTGATTTCTGATTGGTTCACAGATCTAACTCATTTAACCACCATTTTTTTTCGCCTACATTTAAGGGTGATGACCTTTTGTCCTTTTTTTATTCATTTTCTTTTATTTTTCTTATCTTTTTTGTTTTTATTTCTTTATGGCAAACCAAAATGGTTTGACAACTTTTAGTTATCTATTTTTTTTTTGAAGTAGTTAACTTTTTGTTTTCCTATTACTACATAAGACAAGGATGTGTCTTCTTTATTCAAATTTTACAGCGAGGTTATTCTAAGAGAGCTGAAGAACTTACAAGTATTTATTATCAGTGTATGTAATCTTAACAAGATATGCAAATCACAGTACTAACTCAGAAAGAAAATTACAGACCTTCCAAGACATAGTGATAGAAGAAAGCAAGAAGAAAAGACTAACTGCAAGAAAACAGAAAGAGAAAAATCACAAGATATAAGTTACAAATTGGAGATGTAATACAGAAGTTTAAAAATCTGGGAAGTGTTTTAACAGTGAATGAAAAATGTGATACCAAGATCCAGACACACATTTGGCTAGCAAAAGAAATATTCTAAAAGCTAAGCAAGGGGCTGAGAAATGGGAAAATTTTGTTAAAAAAAAAAAGAAAAGAGTGTTAGATTGCTATTTGCTATCCATCCTCATATGGCATTGAATACTGGACAAATCTTACCACAGATGATGAGAAAACTGGAGGCAGCAACAAATATGGTTCTACAGAATGATACTGAGAATGCTATGAATGGAGCAAGTAAGCTACAAGGAAGTTTTAGAGAAAATGGTTACAGCATTAACACTTATACTCAGAATCAGGAAAAGACAGTGTGAATCCTCACTCAACAAATGAATCCACTGGAATAGAGAGACAGATTGGAAGATTTTTAAATTTGTTTTGTTTAAAATTTCTTAAAATTAAGAAAATTGCTGTTTTTAAAAAATGTTTTAAAAAATTGAACAATTATTTGACATTCCAATCTATATAATTTCTATCTGAAATACACCAGAATATTTTACTTATTGTAAATAATAAATTTAATCACTTAGCTTTCAATTAAAGCTAAAATGAAGTCTTCAAGAATGCTTTTACATTTTTAAAATTTAATTTTAGGTATCGAAAATTCAGTGTACCTACCTGAATATATCCTCAGAACATTTTTTTTAGAATGTCTTTAAATTTCTTTGGATGCATATGTCAACTTCTCACTTAGCTTCCCTTTTTTTATATATACATGTTAGCTGAAAACATAAGTTTTCTCATGGCCAAGCTGCGTAGTCAGAACTCTCAACTCACTTGATTTATTTGCTGAAAGTGAGATACAAAACTTTAAGTTTTAAATGTCCTCTCAGCTTTGCATGCCAAACTTTAGCTCAGCTAATTAATATATATCCTTTTCCTGTTGTTTTATGCACCTTGTCCCTTGAGGATGCTGGAGGTCATACCTGTTACTAAAATCTAAGCACAAATTTCCCATTGTGACTTAATGTGGAAATGTATTCTTGTAAAATCTGAATCAAGTCATATAGAAGAAGAGACACATCACAGGATGGTAAAGTTAGTAAATCTTTTGTAAGTGACACAAAAAATAAATTCAAACTGAAAAAGAACATTAGGCAAGGGTTTCAGAGGGGCTGAAAAAAAATTATATACATACATACATATATATATATATATATATATATATATATATATATATATATATATACATCATTTCTCTCTGTTGCATTTTTTTAAATTACAAGAGTTTAAAATTTTCTCTTCATTTTTCATGCCAATTTCAAATCAGCCAATTGATAATAGATATGCATTTTCCAACTTTCTAGTTACAAAACTTTTTACTTGTGTATCAGCTGAAATAAGTATTTCAGTGTTTAGAAATATATATATATATATATATATATATATATAAATAATTATTTATTTAAAAATTATAACATAAATATGTTATAAAATCACTACAAAAATAACCATTTTGTTTCAACATCTCTGGTGTCTTATCAAATGAAGATGTTGAATGTAGATTGTAGAATAAAGGTTTGAAAAGGTTCAAATTAATTAACCACCCCTCATAAGGGGAAAACGCTGTCACATGAGCTGAAATGACCAATCAAAATACAAGTATAGGAGAATTCAAAAAACTTGACAACGATGTAAGGTTATAATAACTATTAAATGCTTTAAAGTTAGATTTATGCTAAAATAGAATTTATTCTAACTAATAAGGATTAAATTGTACAATAAAATCTGAAATTAAAATTAAAAACTATCCATTTGAAAAATGTTAATTTAATCTATATTAAGTTTAAAATTATTGAGGAAAAAAGAAAAAATACTTATGTTATTCTATTCAATTTGTTTCTATTGAAATTACGTTGGAATAAACGTTAAGATTGACTGCCCTTAACTTAATGACAACATGGATACAAGTGTAGACATGGGATTATGACATCTCGCGAAAGACAATAACAACACAATCAGATTATAATACATAAGCACGCAGACATATTTAGATATATACACACAAAAAAAATGATGAGACAGGAAATATTTGCATGACCTTTTACAAAAAAAAAAAAAAATTAAATCACATACATACACAATGAAATGTGCATGTAAGTTACCATACACAGACACCGAAAAAGACACGTACATATACCCGCATACATTGACATAGACACTCAAGAAATATTCAAGATTGAAGTTGTTTATTAAACGAATTCTAACCACATATTAAAATATAACTTATACGGGCCAATATACATAGATAAAAATCGTCTAAAAGAACAGAGAAATAAACAATAGGTAAAGAAAGGCCATTTAAATAGATATATACATATAAAAATAACACCATCTAATATAATAGATAATTAATTTGATTTTTTTATTTGGGTCAGAATGGAAGTTTGTTATTTTGACTAAGTTCATATGTAAAGTTAAGGTTGGAGTTTAAACACACACACAAACTTACCAGACTCCATTAGAAACATACTATTAGAAAACACAAATATAATAACTGCATCCACCTGTAAAAAAAGATTAAAAATAATGGAAGCTTTAATAATAAAAAAGAAAAAAACAACTCTTAAAAATATTAACTACGAACAAGGCCACAATGTGCTAACCATATTCGGAAATTAAAACATCCCTACTAAGCACTAAGACATACACATAATGCACACAATTAATCTGAAAAATCGAATCATCCTTGATAATGGCTAAAGATATAGCTGAAAGTACTTGGAACTATAAAACATTTGGACAGTTTTTACACACTCTTTGTCCAGAAAAGAAAGCTCTTGTTTGAACACAAGAAAAATTAAATAAAAATCTTAGCCCTACTACCTTGGCTGTCGTTTTTAATGAAACATGCATAAACGAAGGATTGCTGCCTAAATATACAACTAAACTATATATATATATATATATATATATATATATATTTTTTTTCAACACACACCACATACACATATGCACACAGACAAACATGTAATAATAATAATACATCTGATCTTGACTATTCAAATGATCTAGTATTCACACCAGACACTATTACTGATGCCACAACTTTCCTACATCATTTAGAAAATACTGCTAACAATGCTGGACTCTATGTCAACCCCTCTAAAATTGAATTCATAAGCTTCAACTAGCAAGGATCCATACAAATTATCTCTGGTGAATCAATAAAATCTGTTGAATCTTTTACATACATAGGAAGCAAGATAAATCTTACTGAAAAGGATGTGAAAATTTGCATAGCTAAAGCCTGGGCCACCTTGAATAAAATGGATTTTACCTGAAAATCTGATCTACCAGACAACTTCAAGTGAAAATTCTTTCAAGCCACTTGTGGTGTTAATGTATGATGCCACTGCTTGTATATTAACTAAAGCACTTGAGTCTAAGCTTGATGGAATCTGGACTCAGATGCTGGGAACTATACTTAACACCTCATGGAGACAACATCCAACTAAATCTATGGACCCATCCCTGATATTTCTTCAATCTTATGTGAATGCAGAATGTGCTTTGCAGGACATTGTTGGTAAGTAAAAAAGAACTAGTGAGTGATCAGCAACCAATTACATTGATGAGATGTAATGACACAGGATGTAACCCTAATGACCTTTCAATCTTGATGAATGACTGATGGTTAGAGTGATATACTCATGAATGTCCAAGCTAGTTTGACCAAATAAATAATTAAAAACAAGAATGGTTAAAAAATATCTCTCAGCTTTCATTTCATCCCAAGAATGGCAGTGATACCATAAGGACACAAGGTGTTACTGAAAGCAAAAGAGAGTAAGAAGACCGTAGTGAGAAATCAGGAGAAAAGACAATAAAAGAACAGGGTTCAGAAAGAGAGAAGATGGCATTTGGTGTTGCATTTAAATTTTCGAAGATTGTAGGTGGCAGGGACGCAAGAAATAGGGAGTTCCACATGTGAGAATTGCAAGAAAAGAAACTATTTCAATAGAGCTTATGGTTGCATCTAGCTAGTTTAACAGTAAAGTGGTGAGACCTAATTGCCAATCTAGTAGTATGCTTAAATTCATGCAGTCAAGATGCCAAGAAGGAAAGCTCATCACAATAATTGCCTTGAAAATATTTGTTGGAAAGATAGATGGAAACTACATCACGTCAGTGATGCCAGGCCATGATTACATTATAGACCGTTTGAATTTTGTCAAGAATCTCAAGTACCCAATAGTACCCTACCTCATGATACCATCTTTATGAAGCTTAGCTAGCTTAGATGAAGCTTAGATGAAGAGTAACACAGAAGTAAAGGAGTGGATAAAGGATTTTTGGAGATCAAGTGGTAACAAAACAGGAAATAGGGCATATCCAGATGTTGATCTATATTTACAGTTATGTGCTTGGGATTGGGGAGAGTTCTAGTCTACACTTGGTGGAAGATTGACTTGTCCATCGTGTGTTATCTGTGCTATCTATTTGTATTTCCATCCATCACGTCAGGATGAGTAGATGGGCGAGAATTTGTTAGTGGGAAGAGCTGAGCTGTCAGACCAACATAAGAGAAGTCATTCCAAGTATCACCTACATACCCACCCAGGTGAGCAGGCCAAACCCTGAATAAAACATCTACATATAATATGGGAAATAGAGTTTGTCTTCATTGACATGGCTTTTGTCTTTCATTAATTACAGTAATTATTGTGTTCTTTGTGAGAAGCTGCAGATTGTTTTTGTTATGGTCCGGTTCCTTGTACCACGGTGATAGTCCAAGGTAGAACCAATAAAGAAGAACTCGAACACAGGTATGGAATAACACAGATATATTACAAACAGGAATATATACAGAGAAGTAGAAGTGTTAGTATGAACAATCAGGTTTAGTAGAGAGAACAATGTAGTCTTGACCAGTATCACTATTCCAATGTCTTGCAGTAATTGTCTGAATGCGACTCTGTTTCGGACTGCCTCTGACTCGACTCTTGACTCGACTTGAACTACTGACAATATTCAGTCACCCCCTCACTGAGGCAGCATGTGACACAAGGTCGGTTATTTATTGTGGGTTCTCTGAGCCCGTGGGCTCGGCCCAAAAATATGCCCATTGAACCCGTATAAACGGGCTCATGGTCAGTTTACCTCCCTGAACGAGACTCCGCCCCTCGGCGTAGCCTCGTTCGGGTTCCTCTCCGCCCAAAGGCAGAGAGTTCAACTGATCTGTTGTTCAACTTGAGTGACTGACACTATTCAGTCCCCCCCACACACACAAGAGGGCGTCATGTGGCACGAGGCCTTTTTAATGTGGGATCTCCGAGCCCGTGGGCTTGGCCAAAAATATGCCTATTGAACCCATATAAACAGGTTCAGGGACAGTTTACCTCCCTGAAAAGAGACTTCAGGTTCCTCCCCACCCGAAGGCAGAGAGTTCAACCGAACAGCCGCTCAAGACTTGAGCGACTGACTCCCTGCCTACTCCTGAGGCGCGGTATTTATTAAGTATGGAATAGTCCATTATTATTATTATGGGTAAGATCCCATAACAGTTTCCCAGCTTTTTTTTTTAATTGTTTCACCTCAAGCAAGGCAATAAAGTCACTAAGATGCAAGAAGTTACTGAGTGTCGGAGAATATGAGAAAAAATACTATTAAGAAGAGAGGACAATAAAAGAACAAGAATTAATAAGTTTTCAGAGTGTTGATGAGATTGAAAATTGAAATTGGCTAGTTGGTGAAAAGTTTGGATCATGTATGTTTGTAATCTTAAGACATATAATCGATCAGATCCTTAGAGTTGTGGGTCATATGCCTTCTCCTGTGATCCCAGGTGTTCTCAATTTCATTCCAATTTTGAATTATCATCTAGTAATTATTTTTCCACTATTATGTCAATGTTATCTATTGTTGTAATCAGGAACTAAGGAAATGGAAGCACTGTTTCAGCCATTGTTCAGACATGGAAAATACCGTGTTGGCCATATTGTTATGTGTGAATAAAAAGCTGGAGTATCACTTCTCCAGGCAGAGAAGAAACCAGACTAAACGGTGTTGTCATTATTATTATTATGGACCTCTTTATCAATTTATGACAACAATAATTTATTTAAATGTATAAATGAAGCTTATTTAATGTGAAGTCATGCTGATTAATCATAATACAAAACACACACACACACACACATCATACTTATTATAAAACCCAGGTTGTGTGTGTGTGTGTCTGTATGTTTATATATTGGATTGGATTTCCTACATTTTTCAACCAATTTCAACAAAACTTCACATGACTACGTAAAATTACCTTGCGGTGGTTCTGACAGCACCAAAAATTGGAAAAACACAATTGTTTTTGCACAAAATCAATCTGTAAACACGATTAAGAGGCATCACAAGAATGAAAGGGGGACAACTCATATCGAGTTATATTTATTATAAAACCCAGGTTGTTTGTGTGTTTGTTTTTATATGGGATCAGATTTCCTACATTTTTCAACCGATTTCAACAAAACTTCACTTTTTTTTGGCAGGTAGTGTTTCTTATTGTCTTGCACACTTTTTTCTTTATTTTTACATTCAGAATGCTTTCAAAATTCCATTTACAAGACAATTGTTTATAATAAAATTCTATTCAATTGGTAGACTCATAACGATTGAAAACAATGTTTTTGTTTGAGTTTGGGTTTGACCAATTCGTAAAAAACAAAACAAAAAAAAACTAATTAAGACATGCGTGTCTGTCAACCTTAAACAATAATCTTTGTCAATTTTATTTTTCAGTCTTTATAATAGTCAATATGTCTATATTTTAATGTATCAGTTATCAATAAAAATTTTAAAAAATCCAGAAGACACGTTTTTAACGGATGTTAGATTTCATTGAAAAATACATCCTTACCCACTACCAAAACGTAGCAATAACTGATACATTAAAATATAGACATATTGGACACCCAGACCCCCCTAGTCTAGCAAAATAGATTTATCTGTAACCTTGGAAACATGAATTTTGTTTTAGCTGTGTATTTAAAACCCAGTAATTTTAAAAGTTACTCCAAAATCCGCTTGAGGATGAAATGGAACTAATGTCTTTAATTTAATTACAAAATTAAATTCGAGGCTTTTAGCTTCCATTTTTGAAACATGGTTAGAACTGTGTAGCAGAAAAAACCATATTTTAAATCAATTAATTTATAATATCAATGCTCTGTTAATTTACCTTGAGCACTATTTTGTAAAAATAAAAATATCTATAAGAACACCGGATTATATATCTTACTGTTCTTTCTTTTTATTTATATACATATATATATATATAAAGTTGGGATCAAATACAGATCTAATATGGATTGGAATCTGACAGATTGATAAAAAACAAAAAAGAAACGTTTAACAATCTAAGATGTTTTACTTTTATTAAAACTCCATTGGAAATATGGAGAAATATTTTTTCTCCATTTCTCATTTTCTGATGAAGCTTTTAATAAATGTGAAACATCTTAGATTAATAAACCTTTCCTATTTGTTCTTTCTCCTATATACAGGTTGTATCAAAAATACCTTTACAAAATTTGGTGGCAAGTTCCTCAAACCAAAACAAGGACAAAAGACATATGTTCGCAAATCCATCATTCTTCAATTATGACGTTTAAAATTTACAGTATACGCTGTTAAATGTACAATTCAAGATAGGATCCAGAAATACTTTTACAAACTTTAATAAAAGTGAAACATCTTAGATTAATAAATGTTTCCTATATGTTCTTTATCCATATATATATATATATATATATATATATATATATATATATATATATATATATATATATTCTCTTGTTCTTACACTCGAGGTATATATATATATATATATATATATATATATATATATATATATATATATATATATATCTTGTTCATACACCTGAGGTGGGTTGAGCCAGTTCAATATTGTACTTTCATGGAATTTGGAATTCACAAGCGGTCCCCAACTCGCATGTATAGCACATGAGATTTGATTATAGTGGTGAAGGTTTCATGTAGGACCATCCACACTTTTTGAAGGGCCGATTATAGAGACCTGGTGCACTACGTGCCACAAGGTCCCCAAACGAACCTCCATGAGGTTTTGAATTCAGTTTTCCTTCTCCTAGACCAGTTGCCATCCAAGGCTATAGAACCCAGTCTGTCCTGCTATTTTACCCATAGCTGGAGGGAGAAGAAGAGAATTCATACCTTTCCCAAGGGTATTAGCACGTAAGTGAATGTAATGGATTCAACTGAATTCAAACTCGGCTCTCCAATTCCTCGACCCAAGCTGCTATCCATTACTCCACCATGCCTCGTATGTATGTATATATATATATATATATATATATATATATATATATATATATAGTTTGTATAGATGGAATAACATTCCAATAACCAAAACCTCTATTTTTAAAAAAGTGCTTCATAAATTAATAATAAATAATATTTATTCAATCAACACCATCTCTTGATGAGACACCAGAAGTGTTGAAACAAAATTGCTATTTTGTAATGATGTTATAACATTCTTATGTTATAATTTTTGAATAAATTTATATATATATATATATATATATATATATATATATATATATATAGTGTACAAAGTACATTCTTTTGCAGTCTAGAGTTCCACCCTGAACTGAAATTCCTTTCTAAGACCTCCCCGGGTTGAAATTCCTTTCCTTGAGATATAAAATTCCTCCTTTGGGAGCCAAGTGTAGATAATGGCAGATACGATCATAAGTTTATTTTCTTTATAGTAAGAATTTATTTTTTTCTCTTTATTTTTAGGAACTTTTTGGTACTTCTGGTGTTGATATGTTGACTCATTTCCTGAAGACTGACTCGAAAGTGATTAACAGTGGACAAGGTTTTCACAGTCTGCTTCTGGCTACTGTTGACTGTGTGTGGTAAGTGAACATTCTTTGAAGAAGAGAAATTTTCAAATTTAAATGTTTCATTTTCCTTTTTTCTTTAACCTGGAAAAAAAAAAGCATTCATTTGCCGAGCATTTCTATATAAAAAACAGAATTTAAAAAAAAATATATCTTTTTCGATATATTTTCTTACGCTGTGATAAATTGCCAAAATTATTTTTTATTTTGTACTTTAAGATTGATTTATTCTTTTTACCTTGATTTATTTGGTTTTTATGACTTATCAACCCTTTGCAGGTTATTTAAAGCCAAAAAATATATTTAGATTGTAAGAATTTTTTTTAGATAGTAATGATTTCGGGATACAAATCTTTACTAATTAACCCATAGGTGGAGGAGAAGAGGTGTATTCATACTTAATCAGAATTTGATAAACAAGAAATTATAATGTGGATATAAAATGGAGGATCAGTTCCTTATTACAATCAATATATAAACTAATCCCTCACTTTATGGCCACGGTAGTTTTGATAAATTGATATTCTAGAGAATCTAAAAAGATCTAAATGACATGTCTGTGTAGCTAATCAGTATTTGATTGATTGATTGATTCATTTTTTATGGCTTATCAACCCTTTGCAAGTTATTTAAAGCCAGAAAGTATTTTTAGATTGTAAGATTTTTTTTTTGAGATAATAATGATTTAGTGATACAAGACTTACTAATTAACCCATAGCTGGAGAAGAAGAGGTGGATTCATAGGTTTCCTAAGAGTATTTGCACATAAGTGAATATAATAAACTCAATGGGAATTGAGCGTGGCTCTCCAATTAACCAAGCCATTATCCATTACACCACCCACACATCTAAGTCGACAGGTTTACATTCCCTGGTATTCCTAAGCGGCCAACCATCTAGACTCGATGATGGTTAACTTTGGTGATCGTGTGGGAACCAATGTTTGAATATGATATGGCCATAAGCCTTTTTTATCTTAAATATCCTTTTCTGTTATTTGATGTTGTGGGTTTTGGTCTAAAAATAACCAATAGAACTTGAACAGTGACAAGACAAGTTGATTCCTGTGCCTTTTTTATAAATACTTTCATCGTAATTCTTCTGATTGGCTTTTCACTATGGTACCCAGACTTTATGAATTTAAGCGCAGTATTAGATTGGCAGCAAGATCTCATCATTTTATAGTTGAAATGGCTCGATGTAATTGTAAGTTCTATGTGAACAGATTTTTCTATTGCACTTTTCATTTGTGGAACTCTCTTCCGGCTTCTTACTTTCCAGTCAACTTTGATCTTCAAAACTTTAAATGTAATATCAATTGTTATCTTCTGTCTTCTTAAACCCCTGTTCTTTTATTGTCCTCTCTCCTTAATAGTTGTTTTTTCTCATATTCTCTAACACTCAGCAAACCTTTGCATCCTAATGGCTTTATTGCCTTGCTTGGGATGAAATGATTAAAAAAAAACGATTTTTTTTCCTTTTATACTATTTATTGTCACCCAATACAAAGTCCAAGAGCCACTCAATGTAGAGGGCTACTGAAAGAGGTTGTTGTAAGGGCATAAAGGGAGGAGCTATATAAGATAACAGTTGATTCTAGACTTGAAGATGTTAAGATTGTAGTGATTGAGAAAGCATCCACTTGGGAGTTTGTTCCACAAAGTAACAGCTCTGGAGAAGAAACTTTATGAGTGGAACTTCTTCCTCATCAATGGAGTATGAAGGAAATGAGGATGATTTGACCCTGTGTATGTGGTATGGTGGATCCTAGCTATGAAAGTCTGGACTGGTGAATAAAGTAATGTCATTTGTCTGAACATTTGTCATAAAAATAGCGATAAATTAGTGAGAGGCAGGCAATGTTTCTTTTGTGGGAAAGTGGTGGTGGGTGAGGGGATGGTTCTCATATGATCACTGTAGTTAAGCAACATTTAGCCTGGTCAGTACCTAGATGGGTGACCACTTTGTAATAGCAGCATCAGGTGCTCTAAGCTTAGGTGTACTGGTGGTGTAATGGATAATGGCTTGGAAATGTTAATCGGAGAGCAAAGTTCCAATTCCAGTTGGGTTTGTTATATTTCTTTACATGCAAAATACACTTGGGAAAGGTATGAATCCACCTCTTCTCCCCCAGCTATGGGTTAATTAGCAGGACTTGTATCAGTAAATCATTATTATCTTCAAAGAAATTCCTATAATCTGAAAGTACTTTCTGGCTTTAAATAACCTACAAATGGTTGATAAGCTGTGAAAAGAATATCAATCAAGTGTGCGGCATGCTTTGTGAGTGAATTTGGGTTCAGAAAATGTTGATGATTGTGCTAGCACAAAGTTACAGTTCATCGTGACTGAGGTTTTAAGTGTGCTCCTTTTGTTCAAACTGGTGATCATGCTAGTTTATGCAATCTATAGTGTATAGAGTACATTCTTTTGCAGTTTAGAGTTTCTCTCAAATGTGCTCTACATGGTTGCAGTATAAATCACAAGTTGGCTCTGTTGAAGAAATGCAAATGTGCCTGAGCAGGTATCTGCAGCAGGGATTTGGGTTAGGGTTGCAATGAGTGGAGGTGAATTTTCTATATTGATGTAATAGTCCTAAATTTTTTTAATTTAATTTTTGACTTTTGCTGATCTTTTAACATATTGATTGCCAACCCCAAATCAGTATGGGGTCATGTGGAGGCCATTATTTACTTTTTTAATATTTTTAAAAATATTTTGTAAAAGAATATGTTTGATATCAAAAAAATTTTTTCCATCATTAATATTTTTCTATCAAAATGGCTACCAATATTTTTTTCCTAACCTCAGAAGCCATGTCATTATGCAGAGTTGGTGGCCACGGTTAAATGTGAAATAAATGATAGAACTGCCCAACAAACTGAATTGACAAAGTTTACAATAAGCAATGACAAGAAAAAGGAAAGAACAGGTCAAAAATAATATAAATAAAGCAAACAATATATGCAAGGCAAATTAATGGTAATATGGCAAAAAAGTTCACAAACTAAGAATTGACAGACAAGAGCAAATTCAGATAAGCAAATGTACACCCTTGTGAAAATTAATTGAAACAACCACTTTAGTTTCCTTTCTTTCATCATATGGTCAGTTTTAGACCCACTGGAGTGACAGGGTGTAATCGATTTTTATTTTTTCTTCAGTTCAGTTCATTTCATGGTGTGCAGTAATAAGAATCTATTTTCAGGATGTATGATAAAATTTGTTTGGCCTTGAAAAATATTGCATCATCCGTGATTGCATCAGATTTTTATCACACACAGACACTATTGTCTCGATTGTCAATTAGTTGTCCTATGGCCATTGTCTATGATAAATGTTACTCCAAGGAAGCGTACGGAAATTGTAATGCTGCACAAACACACTGGCAAGCCTTACCAGTGAGCAAATCAAAGTACTATAGACTGGCCTGGATTTAAATCCAATCAAGAATCTGTGGTCAATCTGCAAGGATCAATTTTGTGGAATGGACATACAAAGTACTAACATGTGTACTGGGTCATGTTTCATTGGAAAAATACAAAACAAATGTAAATAATAACAGAATTATTCATTTTGTTTCAATTAATTTGCACAATGGTGTAACATTCTGACTTCAAAACAAGACAGACTGGAAGTGAGTCATATGAAACCAAGAACCGGCCTATTTTATCAGCTGTATTTTGCAGTAGATTGGAATCAACACTCAACTAGTGTTGAAGGATAACTCTCTTGTGTGCATAATATCTTTTGGGAGATTTTCTAAATGATATATATATATATATATATATATATATATGTGTGTGTGTGTGTGTGTGTGTTATTTTCTAGCAATTAGAGGCTTCATGGCAAATAAAGAAACATTATTAAAATGCTATAAATGTAATTTACATTTATTTTCTAATTATGTTCATGTCACCCTATACTGGCAACACAATTCAGCAAATATTGCTAATATTGTAGTTGAATCAAGAATTTGATTCCTTACGCTTTGTTTTTTTTAATACCTGCTATACATTTTAAAAGCATTCAACAGAGTGTCATCTGTATTTTCCAAGACTTTTACAGGAAGCCGCAGACATTGCTTTATATAGAAATATGTATAGTGTTTCCAAAATTTGGCAAAGCAACTTAAATTGAAAATATAACGGTCAACAGTATGTGGAGAGATGGCATAAATGGAAATACCATGTCACCAATATATGGTGACATCGTTGTCAATGTGTTAAATTAATCTCAAGTGATGGTATTTCACAACCTTTGACTAAAAATGCATCGCTCAATATCTTGTTGCAGGTGTTCGGTTATTGGTTGTACTTTATCCGAAAATTATTTCCTGGAAAACGAGGGATGCTTTCTGCTTCTGGATCTTCTTGAGGTAAATGATTGATTGGTTAATTGATTGATCAATTAGATCTGTTTGAGGATGGATTTGTGGTTAAAACATTGGACTAGATGCCCGAGGCCACATTTCTACTCTTACTTCTTTTTGTATATTTATTTATTTTTTTTAATCTTTTCAACCCAAGCAGGGGTTATAGGGAGTGAAAGTGAAAGAAAATGAGAAAAAGTGAGAATGAGGAGAATTGAGTAAAGGACAAAAAAGGAATGAGTTTCAAGAAGACAGAAGATGGCGGACGATGTTGCATTTCCATTTTTGAAGATTGTAATTCTCAGGGAAGGTGAGAAAAGAAATTGTTAGAATAGAAGTTTCAGTTTAACAGTAAAACAGTGAGACCTAGTTACCAATTTAACAGCATGCTTAAATTTCATGTAGTTAGGGCACCAAGGAAAAAAAAGATCATCAGAGGAGTTGCCATGAATATACAGGGTGTCCATAAAGTTCGTGTGCACTTTAAAAAATTTGTAACTTTATTTGTATTTGCGATAGAAATAATTTGTAAAAAAAAAGGATTAGAAAGAAGTAAATCTATATTTTTTAAGGTTTTATTGAAATTTGATTTAAATTTTCACATGTCCTTCATCATTAGCAATAAAAAGGGTAATACGATTTTGCAGTTCACGGAAAACATTTGCCAACTGATTTACAGTAATGCCTGAAATCATATTAGTTATTTTAGCTATACTTAAAACTAGGTACATTAAACTTTATAAGATTTTTTACAGATTATTTCTATTGCAAATACAAATAAAGTTATAAATTTTTTAAAGTGCACACGAATTTTATGGACACCCTGTATTTGTAGAAAAGACAATGTTAAGTCATGTCATGTTGGTGCGAAAGCCAAGATGCCTGGTCAGGATCAATTACATTACAGATCCGTCTTTGGATTTTGTCAAGAATTGCAAGATGTACAGCAGGAGCACCAGATATGGTGCAACAGTATTCAATGCAAGGACGAACGGTCAGTTTATAAATATGCAAGATGGATTCTGACAAGAAAAAATTTCTGGCATGACACACTGAACCAACTTTCCTTGCAGTAGATGCAGCAGTTGATTTAATATAGTCAATACACTTTATATCAGTGGAAAACGTAAGGCCAAGAAGGCGTGGAGTGTTGTTCTCCTGGAGTTTAACATCAGCCATGAAAGTGGAAAAGATTCTCTGTGGGGATTAAATGAAAGCAGTTTTGTTTTGGAGATGTTAAAATTTACAAGCCATTCCTTGCCCCAGTTAACCACTGATTGGAGATACTTTTCGGGAAAAGTTGGCAGGCTTACTTTGTCAAGTCTGTCAGATTTGTTACAAAGACAGGAGTAAATGTTTATGTCATCTGCATAAATCCCTATTTGGCAACAGATGATATTGAGGATATTGTTGATGAAGATCAGATACAGTGTGGGTTCAAAGATAGAGCCCTGGGGGACAGCTGTGTTATTATGAAATGATCTGGAAATGTGCACATTCAACATGACCTGCATTACATGATTTGTTGGGAATGATTGGATTAAACCAAATATTTGTCCCGTCACACCATAACCATTGAGCTTGTGTAGAAGGCCAACATGCCAAACCCTGGTGAATGTCTTTGCGATATCTAGAGCCAGAGATGGAGCTTTGCCATTCTTATTTAAAGCTTGATTGAAAAATTCAGTGATGATTGTTAATGTGTCGGTTGTAGATCTGGTGAAGTGGAAGTTATATTGTTTGTCCGATAGGAGGTTGCATGAAGTAAGATGCTTAACCAATTTGGCATTGATTAGAGCCCTGAGTACTTTGCTGAAAAGAGATAAAAACTAATAGGGTGATAATTTGAGGGGTCACAGGGTTCATTGCAATTTTATTTGTAGGCTAAATCTTGTATCTATCATAACATTTTTAACCTTTATCTAGCTGGAGGTGAAAATTGTCACTGTAGAATTCTTTCTCTTTGCAGCTGTCAGCACATTCTGTCGTTTCAAGAGGGCGCTATAAATAAACACTTGTCAATTGTTATTTTCAGTATTTTAAGCTGTAAATCACCTATTACTGCTTTGGAATGATGCTAAACTTCCATTTTCCAATGCCATTTTGAATCCTTCTAGAGTCCACATGCGGTGTAACATCTATTGAACCCACGTTAATTTTGTCGCGATTTTTAGTAAACAAAAATGGCCACATCAATATCCAATGAAACCTTTATTCAGGAGTTTTTCTTTGATTCAGACTCTGATGATAATTTTGAATAATTTACTAAGGGTTACAATGCACAGAGAAATTGTGGAGAGCCATGTTCACCCATGTTCTGAAGGAACATAGCACATAGAAGAAGAAGGAACTTTTGTAAATGCTTGGAAGAACAGGTATTTGGAAAGATAGTAAAAAGACAAAATCTACTAAGGGTTACAATGCACAGGAAATTGTGGAGAGCCATGTTCACCCATGTCCTGAAGGGGCACTGTACAGAGAAAAAATGTTTTTATGACCAGCAGTAAAATCTTTGAATTAAGATCTTCAAAATTTCCAGCCACAGACCAACAGGATATGAAATAGGATATAAATGAAAACTTTCAGAAACAAGTGCCACTTGGCTGGAAGTTAGAAAGTTCCACTTATTTAAATTAAGTTACAGTTAGAACTGAAAGTAGTTTTGATGCCACCTGTTTGCAGGGTACAGGCTGCCTATCAGAGATCGTTCTAGGCTACCTGTTAGAATAGGTATGTTGCAAACTGTGATGTAGGTGTGGGCAATGGGGTGGTACGAGAGAATCTTTGCTAGCTCAATGGAAGAAGAAAAAAGTAAACACTTTCTCTGCCCATGGCAGAATGTGTCACACTCAATATGCAATGACTTAAGAATTTCAGTCACTGTGTCTTTTTCATGGGCTGATGAATCTCTGTGAGTGGCTCAGGCTTGCTGGGAGATGGGTGATTTCATCAAATTACCATCTCTAGAATGGTTGACAATTAAGGTTATAGAACCCAGTCTCTCCTGCTATTTAACCCATAGCTGGGAGGAGAAGAAATAGATTCATACCTTTTGCAAGGGGATTTGAAAACAGGATTGGCCTTTTCATTTCTTACCATAGTGATATATTCACTTTTCTTTCCTTTTGAAAGTTAAACAGGCATTTCTGTGTTGCTGTGTACACTGACGTGAACAAGAATCAAAACACAAATTGGTGTGATTTTATCCATTTGGGGAAAGAGTAAGAGAAAGCGATCCCTATTGTCTGTTTATGACTGGATACATAATGTATTTTTGTATATAAATGATAATTTATCTGTATGAAAGAGAATAGAGTTCTGGTCCATCACACCCCTTCATATTTGTAAATGGAACGCTCTGTCGTAAATATATAAAGGCTGATAGAGAGCTATGCAGGATTAGAGAAAATTAGATTCTCTGGTTGGTTCAAGGTGCCTTTTGTTATTTTGCTTGTTCGTAATTTTCTTGTATCTGGATGTGAGATGGCTAGTCATTATGCAAGTGGGTGATTCTACTGTATTAAATAGATTGTAAGCAGGGTTCATATTTTCTTTACTCACTGTGGCGTTGTTTTCACCATTCATCTCCTTGTGAGGGTACAACTGGCATTTCACAGTTCTTGTGCACACCGATACGAACAAGTATCAAGACACAATGTGGAGCGATTTGTTTAGTTTGGTTTGTTTTGTTTTACGGCATATCAACCACAATGGGTTATTTAATGCCGACAAGATTTTTACTGCTGGTAATTTTGTTTTTCAAAAATATATTGCTAGTAATTTTTTTTTTTCAAAATTTTTTTACCAAGTATTTCTGGTATTAAAACCTATTTTTGCACCTTCATAGTGTTTTGACCCCAGTTTGGGGGTTAACTGTTTACCTATAGCTTGGACCCTAACAAGTGTTACCACTCTGGTTCAGGGTGGATCTGGGAACACCAGCAATTAAGAGGTGGTTCCATGCTCCTCAACACCTCCTGATCAGAGGCCTTGCTGCCGGATGTAGTTTATCGTCTTACCCAGGACACAGATGTAGTTTATTGTCATATCCAGGATTTGTCCAGTTGGCACTCCGTTATATGTTTACACAACAACTGTAATAATAATAATAATATTCACCTTATTACTCCCTTCTCTTTCTGCTCACCATTAATTTTCTGTTCCTAATTCTTCCACACTTTGTAACCCCTTGTGTTTTAGTGTCATTACTGCCTTGCTTGGGGTGATACCAGTTAAAAAAATAAAAAAAAAGTAATAGACAGGTTCACTTATTGCCCGGTTCACACTCCTACCTGGTCTTCTGAACAGAAGGTGAGGTTTATCTCTTGTTTCCTTTTGAGAATTGGGTTTCCGGTTTCTTCTAAATTCTAAAACTATGTACCAGGCGTAACAGCAAAATTGTCCAAATCGTGTAACAGCAAAATTGCTCAATTGTTAGATTAAGCTTTGAACTGTTGTATCTTAGAAATGATTAAATATATCTTACTGGAATTCTCCAAGGTTTTTATAACACTATGAGATTCTACTTTGAGCAATAAGAATGTATTTAGCTCTAAGTTGAAATGATGATTCCTCTTCCTGTTGTGACTTCCTGATCCAGTTTGCCTTTCTATGGTTCCCTCTTTTTTAAAATTATTCATCATTCTCTTGATGGTTCTTGAATGGAATTTGAAGATGGAAGCCAGAGTTTGAATGTTGGTATCATTACTGAAGGACTGAATGATCTTTTTCCTCTCACCATTGCTCAGTTGGGAAGACATAGAACAGGTTAAAATCATTTTGTGTCAGCCCCGCTTTTTGTAGCTGAATAACCCAAAGGATTTTTCAGCAATTCTTACGACAAATGCTGTCAAGATGGCTAAACATCTTATTTGAAAACCTGGAAAAAAGAAACTCAATTACTTTAGTGTTTTTTTAAATATTAAACATTTTTGTGGGATGGAGAATTATCCCACGCTGTTATACGATTTGGAGAATTTTGCTGTTACACCCAGCACTTTTAACGTCTTTACATAAACTCTGAAGTTTATACTATTTATTTTTTTTTCTTTCAGTAGGAGTAGATAAGTTCACCTATCGTCCGGTTCACACTCCTCCTCAGTTTTTGAACTGGAGTAGAGGTTTATCCTTTGTTTCTAGTTTAAGATTGAGTTTCCAGTTCCTTTTAAAGTTTTTTCCTTCTTTTTCAATTCTGGTGCCCCATTTATCTTGGTGGCATTAACACCATGCTTGGGGTGATGCCTTTTACTCTGTAACCCTCTACCTCAAGTGGCTCTTGGGCCTTGTACAGGGTGAATATTATTGGAAGAAAAAATTCAAAGCAATCCTTATCATAACACTATTCCATCTGTTCCTTCTCTTTCACTTCCAGTAGCCCCTTATGTCTTAGTGGCATTATTGCCTTGATTGGGGTGACTTTATTTAACCTCCCCACCCCCCAAAAAATGGCTGAATCTTTTTAAACTGTATAAGAGAGTAAAAAGTGACGCGTTAAAAGCATTAAAATTCTACAAGCATTCTCTGTATTTCTTTGCTGCAGATATGTTCTCAAGACATGCAACAGAATGTCTTGGGTTGTCTTTTGGATTTGTGCTGTGAGAATCCACAAACAGTCAAACATATCCTGACGTGGAAAGGGTCTAAAGAAAATGTGTCAGCCCCTCATTTTTTTTGCAAAATGTGGCGAGAAGAAGAACGGCAAATGGGAGTTAGAAGGCAGCCATCGGGAGCCATTGCAGGTAAGAAAGCAAGCCAAACCTCTAAAATACAGAACTGACCAAATTAAGCCAACTTGGAAAACTGACTTCATTTTTCTGGGCCACAATCTAACATAATTGGTTTTGTTTTGGACCAAAAAAGTGACAAAGAAATCACTTGAGTACCAACATGTGGGCCTCCTTTAAAACTTGTTGATTCTTGCTCTAGACATTTTCATATATTGTGTAACTTAATCGCATTCAGAATAATATCCTTATTGTTTTTTTTTGCTTTTGTTTTGGTCATTTTTCTCTGGCTTTTTTCAGAAATCTATTAATCTGGGTAACCTTCAGGGAATTTTCCAAAAGAAACCTTTTATTTCATCTCTGGGATAGGTTGTCCTCATTCCATTGTCCATGTCAAGGGATATCTCGCCCTTTTATTTTTAAGCACTGCTCAGTTATTGCTAGGTTAGTTTCCAATAAGTTTGAGATTGTACAACCTGGCTCAGGCTACCCAACATCAACAGACACCCGAAGAAAGCTGTAGAGCACAATGACCAAAACATTGTGGTAGTAACAACAAAGATGAGGATATTAGTCTGAATGTAAATAATGATAACTCTTCCTTCCAGAAAATCAGGTAAAAACTTTCAATATATGTTCAGTATTTTCTAACGAAACAAAAGTATTTCTTATGTAGTAGCGTGTTCTTCGTGTCATTAAACGTCTTGTCTAATTTTCAATACAAGATTTTAAAATTTTTTTAATATTGCAAAATAATTGTCATGTTTTGAATGATAAAAAAATTTCTTAATATTTTATCTTTTTTAGATTTGCTTTTTTTTCTAATTCAAGATCACAATTTTGAATTTTGAAAATTATTTGGACTTTCTTCTAAAGAAAAATTGAAATTTTGTTAAGTGAAGCCATTACAAGTGTTTTAGCATTGTGTACCTAACGCCTTGAATTTTGTTGCTTATCATCCACAGACCCAGATTATCCTTTGATGGGTTGTCTCCAAATGGAATCAGGATTTTATCCGCAGTCAGCGTGTTGTGCAAGCCAGGCAATTGTTGATGTGGTGGAGAACATGCGAGGAAAAATTTATTGTTTTTTTTGCAAACTGGGTCAGTGATCAAGATACACACACGTGTAGACACACAAACATACACTGATACATTCACAAGCAGACAGGCTCAGAGATACACACACATACACATACGCATGCAGATGCACAGCCAGAGGGACAGACATACAAAGACAGCACATGCACAGACACACTCACACAGATACTCAAAAACACAGTGAATAACAGACACAAGCAGAGCCATACACACTGACAAGGGCACATAGACACACTCTCACAGGGATGCACCACACACACACACACACACACACACACACACACACATCTATAACTACCTTATTTTTGTATGCATCATTCAGACTGACTCCTCAATTCATTTAAAAAAAAAAATTAATTTTAAATTTTTACAAAAAAAAGGAAGAAAATATAAAAATTGTTAATTTTTTTTGTAACTAAAATTCTTTTTTTGCAGGTGAAAATTTAAAAAAAATGTAGATTCAAATATAAACTCACCTTATATTTTTTTGCATTTTTTGCAAATTTTAGAAATAAATTATTGAAAGGAATTCGGTTTTGTGGGTTGTTAGCTCAGGCAGTAAAGGTACTTGCCGATGCTAATACTTTGGAATTTATGGTATCTTTAGGGGTCAAGCAAAAATATGTTCCAGTTATTTTTTTATTCCTAGCATCCTACCTTTAAGGATTTATTAATTTGAATTTACTTCCAAGTTTTTCAAGAAGATAGTTTTCAAAATGAGATACAAATCTATATTAGTGGGTAAATGAATGACAAAATAGAAAAAAATCATTAAAACAAAAAACTATTTCCTCCTTCAAATGGACTTCAACAGACTAATTATAGTTTTATTGATAAAGTCATATATATATATATATATATATATACTTTGAAGTATATATTTATACTTCGATATATATTACTTGTACTCTCTGCAACAATGCCTACCCATTAAGCAATTATTAAGAACAAAATTGCTGAATTTAACAAAGTCAAACCTGCTATAGTAAAAAGATGTCTTGTGTACCTACGCCTTCCTTAACTAGGTATTATTAGTGATAGGTTTGCAGATTTCTACCGCAGTTTGACATTGTTACTTTGCCGCTAACACTCATGATGTTTTCTCTGCCAGGCCTGTCCTTCTGTCTATGCGTAAGGATGTTCTCCCACCACATTATAACACTTTATTAATTTATTCCTTTAAATGTATTTGTAGTTCACACTACATAGGGAGAACAACGCAAAGGCTAGATGTTAGAATAAAACAACACGTTCCAGTGAAAATCCGAAACCTTAAGTACACTCTCTCGGACATTTCGACCAATACGTATGGGTCTTCCATCGCAGAACAACTTATAAATAGCCATAATTGTGCTGTTAGTTTTAGTGGTGACGCTTTTACTATCCTTAGCAGGTCCCACTCTAATTACCACCTAAAAGTGTTGGAGGCCATCTATATTCTATCATTAAAGCTTTCTCTATGTAAACAGAAGGACTTTGTATTAGGCCTCCAACTAATTACCATTTAAATATTTTTTTCTCTCCCTCCCAATACACTTTGTCCATTGTTCTTTTTTATATAATTTACTCTATTTACCTCGATTTACCTCTGTTGAGCGAGGTACGAAACCTGTTACGTAGCCCGTTTTTCATTTTTACTTTTTATTATCATGAGTGGTAATAATAAAAATAATTTTTGTCTGTTTATGGCAGTCATAAAATTTTGTACCATCAAACATATCTTTATATATATATATATATATATATATACACACAGTAGGGGGAAACAAATATTCGTAAGCATGCAAATATTTGATTTATTGTTTAATTTAAAAGTTTTAAAATCTGAAATTTGCATTGTACGAATACTTTTTTCACTCATTAAAATGGATAAATGGGATTTATTTCTACTAAATCAAAATATTTTCTGTTTTCTATGCATATTTAGTTATTATGCATCTGTATACAGTTAATTATATGAAAATTATTTTTATTCATTAGTTGGAAATACAATAAATTAAAAATTTGTATGTGTACGAATATTTGTTTCCTCCCACTTTATAAATATATATATATATATATATATATATATATATATATGTACATGTGTGGCCAAGTATTTAGAATGTTCACTTTCCAACCATGAGACCTGTGTTTGAATCTCATCATGGTCGATTAATCAGAAAGGTCACTCCTTGATGTTGTCAGCCTGGGGAGGTGATCTAGATGTGTGGCATCTTTGGAGAGTGCCTGAAACCAAACCACCGGTTGACCCAAACCTTGTGAGTGAAATTCAGTAAACAGAATTATTTGGGAGTCGTCGATGGTTGGGCTAGCATGAAGTCACAAGTCTTTGTGACTGAGGGTTTGTTCAGACTCTTGATGATGCTAGAAAATACGCTCTCTTCCAGAAACTGTAACTAAGGTCTGCTCAGCATAGTTGCAGTATAAACCACAGGTGGGCTCTGTGGGTGTTGAATAAACACAAATGTGCCTGAGTGAACGTCTGCAATAGGGATTAACTAGTCACCGCAGTAGACAGACATGCTTGGATATGAGTGGCCAGCCACCATATATGTATATATATGTACTAGTGCATTGCTGAAAAATTATAGGATTCAAGAATAGGAAAGGCTTAATAAATGAAATACTAAACTATTCTGAACTTTCATCAAGGGAACAAATTCCTTTTGAAAAATGTGACAAAAACTATATAGAACTAAAGAGCATCAAAGAAAAACAAATGCCCATTAGTGTGTGAAATAGAATTTTAATGGGTAAATATTAAAACATTTTTATTATATATATATATATTAGGATCTTGAATAAGTACTCACTGATTTTTCATGAAAAGTAATATTTTATTTACAAAAATTAGTAAGAAACATGTCACTGAAAGTATTGTCGATCGCTAGCCACTACTTTTTTCCATCTTTTTGGCAGAATTTGAATTCCACATAGGAAAAAACGACACTTCTTTTGATGCTAAATACAAGTCGATCCATTTTTTGGCATCTTCATAAGAATGGAAGTGCTGATCAGCCAGGCCATGTGTCATTGATCGGAACAATTGATAATAGGATGGAGCAATTTCTGTTGAATATGGCGGGTGGGGTAGGACTTCCTATTTAAGCGTTTCCAAGTAGGTTTTCACCCATTTTACATCATGTGGCCTAGTGTTGTCATGTTGCAAAATCACTTTGTCATGTTTCTGCTTGTATAGTGGCCATTTTTTCTTCAATGCTCAACTCAAACGCATCAATTTTAGTCAATAGTGATCCCACCAAGTGCAGAGCAGAAGCTTTGAACCATGGATATTTGGCTTTGCCGCTGATGTTGATGCATGGTTGGGCTTACCCCACAATCTTCTACACTTAGGGTTATCGTAGAGTATCCACTTTTCATCACCGGTCATGATACGGCGCAAAAAAACTTTCCCTTTCTTCTGTTGAAGCAGCTGTTCACATGTGACAAGACGCCATTCAACATCTCTCGGTTTCAACTTGTACAGCACACAATGTCCTTACTTTTGAATCATTCCTAATGATTTCAAATGTTTCGAAACTGTTGTGTGATCAACTCCTAATGATTCTGCAAGTTCAGCTTGCGCCTGACATGAGTCTTCATGAAGTAATGCCTCCAATTCTTTGTCTTCAAACTTTTTCGGTGCACCAGAGAGTTCTTTATCTTCAACATCAAAATCATTATTTTTTAAGTGTCTAAACCAATCTCTGCATGTTGTTTCCAACAGAGCAAGGTCACTGTAAGTCTCAACAAGAATTCTGCATGCTTCAGCAGTAAATTTCTTTTGAATAAAGTAGTGCAGCAAAATTCCCCGCAAATACACTTTCTTTGGCACAAAATCTGACATGTTTAACGCTATGAAAAACAAAGTTGTTTACACTTCAGCAAAAACATACACTGAATTTCAAGCTTGTTTATGGTACTTCCTTATAGACACATTACGATCTGAAACTACAGTTCTGGGGATGCCATCTTTTGGAAAACAGTGAGAACTTATTCAAGTTCTATATATATATATATATATATATATATATATATATATATATATATATATATATATATACACTGGGTGCAATGGATAAATTGTCTAAATAACACAACATTTAAAATATCACTGACATCTCATTTTAACAGGTATATTTACCAAAATTACACAAAATTATCTTGAAATACTGAAGAGCAAATTTGTTCAATAAAATCGACATTGGTGTCAACCACAACTGTCAAATGATTTTGGAATCTCCTGCAACTCTTCTGGATGGTCTCCTTGTTTAAGTTGGTGAATGCTGCCATAATCCTTGCCTTCAATTCATTTGGTTTCTCACACAACATATACACATAATAATCAAAGGGGTTGCAGTCTGGGCAGTTAGGTGGCAGATGTAAGGGGTGATCTGGTCGCAGAGATTTTCTGACAGTCATGATTGGGTTCTCCTGCTTGTGTGGCATGGTGCCAGACAGAGGGTCTTCCTGCAGCTACCCTCTCGACCCAGGGCAGTACTACCTCCTCAAGGCACTTTATGTAAGCCTCCGTGTTGAGTCTGAGGCCCTCACCAACAAATTTGTGAGTTCTTGAGTTCTTTTCTTATCAGAACAATCAGAGTGAGTTTTCTGAGTCTCTCTACCTTCATAATCACCATTAGATTCATCCAACTCTTTCCGAATCCTCTGTACTGTCCTCAGATTGACACCCAAATATTCTGAAATGCTTGTATTGAAGTTTCTGATGTGAATGCCAAGTAGTACAGCATGCCGTCTCCAAATATCTGTTGGAGAGTGAATTGCATCATAGTGCTCTTTTTCTCACAGATGGTGCCCAACTGACCCTACTCTACTATGCGGTCAACAAAATCAAAAAACAAACAAAGCACAGATGCAAAATTAATAATATAAAATGGTGACCATTTACTAATTGTACCTGATATATATATATATATATATATATATATATATATATATATATATATAGGGTGTAAGGAAGAAATAAAACAAAATTTGTTTTTATAAAAGGAAACACTACTACCAATACAATGTGCAATATTTTAAAAACAATAGTAATAAAAATAAAAACAAAAGTGATAGAAATCTGAAAGCCAGGCTATGGATCAAGTTATGACATCAAAAATTCAAAGCTTTATCTTCAGTGTTTCTTGTTGTCAAATTATAATTGGTGTTTGTTGTATTTATCCATCCCACTATGTATACATATATCCAAGATTTCATCATTAAAACCATTCTTAGTCTGAAGAAGTCCTTTTGAAGGACGAAACATGTAAAATAGGATTTTTTTTCCTTTTGTTATTCAAAACATATTTTCCCATATGCAAATGAAACGCTGCAATATAAGATTGGCTTTTGCATTTTTTAGGATTTGATGACCTTCCTGGACTCCAAATGATCGACCATATAACTTTAGTCATTATTGAGAAATATCTGACATTCAAGGTGAGAATTCATATTTGCATCAATAAATGGGTAGCCTAATAATGAAAAAAGAATTTATTTTCCAAAACAGATATTTATATTTTCAACATAAACTTCTTCCTTGTCTTTCTGCACTTTAGGATTAATGACATATATTAAATATCATACAATGATATAACATATCTATAATTAGGTGTGTGTGTGTGTGTACTCGTGTATATATATATATATATATATATATATACAAATTTAAAAAGAGCGAAAAGAGCATAAATTAAAACATACATAACGTTATTTAAAAAAGGGCTCAATACAAAAGTAGAGCAATAAATATTTATTATAAACTGCTATATAACAGTTTATAATAAATAAATATATATTTTTTTTTTCTGAAGTATTAATAGATTTATTTTTAATCTGACACTTTCATTACTTCAATCATTAATATAATGGATATACACACGCAACACATTTTTCATTATTCATCTGATGAAGCCATATAGGCAAAATACATTATCAGATATTATTTTTGAAACATACTTTCATGAACGTTTTCCCAAAT